ATAATATTGAAATTGAACTTGAAAAAAAAAACATTTTTCTTAATAATTTTTATTACGGATCACTTACGTAATCTCGCCAACACTTTATTTCCATATGCTTCCATAATATGAAATTTAGAACGAACGAAGTTTGCTAAAATAATATGCTAAATTAAATGTTGTAATAAGGGGGTTATAATCATGTATGATTACCTATTTAAAGCTGGGATCGTAATATCAAATCAAACCAGTGATAAAAAATTTTTGATATAGAATGAGGCCACTTTTGATATTCGGTAAACACCGACATTTAACTGATATTTTTGCATTGCTACAGGGTTTCAAATAATAATTTCTATGCAAATTTCATGTTAAAGTAAAATAAAAATTAAAAAGTACAGTGTAACAATTTTTTTTTTATATACTGGTATTAATTGCTGCAAAAACTTGAAGTTAAACTTTACAAAATTCAACTCAATTTATATTTTAATCCTTTTATGTTTATTCAATAAACAAAAAATTTTAAGAAGCCAATACATGCATTTTGTAATTAAAAAACAAATTATAATCAATCAGTTAAAATTATTAAAAAATTTATTTTCATAAATATTTATATCAATGAATTTATATAAATAAACTGAAATAAATTTACATTAAAATAATGATTTACGTATGTATATTTATTATTTTTTATATAAAAATATACTTTCTTAAACATTAATAGATAAATATATTAAGCGCAATATTAAGTAATAAATAAAAATAATAATTATTATTTTACTATTTAATTATTATATTTATATTTAATTATTATAAATATAATTGCATTTTAAATTGTTATTTATAAACTATTATTAATTAAAACTTATTTTATTTAATTTATTAACATTTTATAAATTTATTTACAATATATTATAGCAATTATAGTAAAATAATATATACTACATAGTATGTATGTGCTTTCTGAGGTATATAATTTAATGTATGTATGGTATTTTTTCGGTCTTTAATATTCGAACTAAAAACAGCCTAATAATCAAAATTAGTAATGCTAATTTTGTTTCATCAAAAATATTATTACTTTTTCTTTTGTTTTAATGAGGATTAGGAAGTCTTAGCAATGTACTAAAAAATAAATTATTTTGTATGTTGACCTCTTTACACAATGTAGAAAATCTTCTAATAGCACTTAAAGGAGTCACAATATTTTCTTAAAAGAAAAAAAAAGAAAAAATAAATAATAAAAAAATAAAAATTTAAGCATATTAAAAATAAAAATTGCAAAAAACAAAATCCTAATTCAGAAAGAACAAAAAATATACAGGAACAATATTATTTTACAAAATAAAAGTTTTTTTGAAAATGCTTAATGATTGATGACTGATAAAACATAGAACGACAAGAGTTATAGAAGCATAAGAACAATGGTTTAATTCTAGTGTTATTTGATGTCTAAAGAATTCCAAGATCTTTAGGTTAATCTAATTAAATAAAATACTCTACAGTAAAACTGTTTAGAAATTATTATATAACATGACAGCTTTATTATTAAAAATTTTCCTAACATCAAAAAACAACCCCGTCAATTCCAAAATTAATTATGTAAATTTATTTTATAATGCGAAATCCTTATATAAATATTACTAAATATACACGTACATACATATTTTGAATTCATATATATTAGTGTTGAATGAGAAAACACTAAAATAAATTAATGATCCTACAGCTAAAAATAAACAAGTCACAACACTTTTCAAATTTTCGAGGAAGTCAAAGCACACCTTTATTTATTTACGTATTCAAATTAAATATGTAGGTATATTATCTAAAAAAATCTACTAAAAATGAAAATTGTTAAATAGGCAGCCGAAATTTTCCTTCAGTAAAAGTCATGAAAACATTAAAATGTAGGAATCTTATTTTCAGTTTTATCGTAATGGTACTTTACTATTCGATTTCTAACTAAACATTATATTACACACACTTAATATTTAATATATAGTTTTATTGTTTTAACAGATTTTTAACAGATTAGTTAAAGCTTAGGTTAAGGAAAATATTAAGTGTTTGAACTATTTTAATTGTACATCTACTTTTAATTCAAACTTAATTTCAGTTTTATTTATTATATACTAATTTTGGACTAATAAATGCATAAACTTGCAAAGAATTGAAATATTAAAAAAACATTTGCTTAAATATTTAATTCAATATGTATATTATTTAATCGTATATACAAAAATCTGTAAATTTTAAAAACCAAATTAAATATAAAAATTAAATTTTTAACAATTTTATTTTAAATAAATACAAATTAAAACATAACAATTCAAAAATTATAACATAAATTAAAATTAAAATGATAAAATGCTAAGAGACCGTAAAGACTTCATTATTCCTTCAAAGTTAATCGACAGGATTCATTAAATGCAGTTGTAGAAAAATGGTGGGAACTTTTAATAATAATTCAAAGTTTTCATATGCATTTATTATTACAATAGATTTTACGTAAAAATGCTTTAAAATTCTTGAAATAGTTAATAAGTTTAAGATCTTCTAACTTTTACAATAAATGAATGAATATATTTTAATTATAAACAACAATTTATTGTAATTAAACGATATTCGTATGTCGTTTCTTCTCATACTAAAAACAAAGGAAAGCAAAATTAAACCTGCTGCCATTTACACTTTTTAGGACGCATGGGATCGAAGAAAAATAATTATTTTAAAATAATTTTTAATTTTAAAGCTGTCATAGAAGAAACTGTTAACTACTTAATATCATCTGTGATTTAAATATGTTTTAGGTACACACATACAAATATTAATTTATGAATATGATTCTTTAATGATTTTTCTTATTTTAAAAACGAGTCTAAAAAGAACTCTCTGCTTTTCTTTTTCTAATTTTCAAATCGCTTGTCTTATTCTTTACAGGAACATGATGAAAACGTTTGTACATATTTGAGTTCCTAGAAGTTCAATGTTTGAATATGTGGCCGATGAGTTCTACGATATCCCTTACCTTTTTCTTGTTGTACAATTAGTTCTTGCAAATCTCTTGTTTCACTTCGATTTGAACGATTATTTAAGAAATCTCTAATATGTTGAACTATTAAATCGATCGCAACTAAAATGAGAATATTATAAAAACCAAAAAAAAAAAATAAGATATGAAATATTTAGAATATAATATGATGTATGTAGAACTAAAACTATTTTGTATATAAAATTAAAAATAAATATCTTATACATATATGTACATATATCAATATTGAAATGTACAAAACTTAATGACATGAAATTAATATAAAAATGTTGATTCCTAAGCATTATATTAATTAATTAATAAAAATTGCTAAATTTTTTTTTAGGTATATTTAAGTATATTGCCAAAAAAAATTTTTGAAACAATTTTCGTGAGCTTGATGGTGCACATATTTGTATGTTTTAAAATTATTTATTCAACATAATCACTCTTTCGAAAGCCACATGAAGCGTTAAATCATCAAAATCAAATAAAAAAAAATTTCAAGTAAAAGTTATAAAATTAATTATTTAAACAATTTTATTTTTCTTGAAAATTGCAAAAAAAATTATTTATTGCTAGGTGACTGTTATTTACTTTAATTAAATCGGAAGTTGTTTTCACATATGTAGGTGTTTTTAAGTGTTATTTTTAATCATTTTGTGCAGGCTTTTTGCATAAAAATTTTTACATAATTTGCTAAATACATTGTATTATAAAAGCCAATTCATTTGCCACCATTATTATCTAATTGCCTTATTTATATAATTAATCTTCTTTAAATTAATTAATAAAAATTATAAAAATTATATTGACTCTTGGAATACTTTAAAACAGTTAAAAAAATTTCTGTGATAGCCACGTAATATTTTTAATATTGTATAAATAATGATATAATTTTCGAGATCAAAACTCTCACCCTAATCAAAAACCTAATTTAAATTTTAGTGTTTACCTAAAATTCTCCATTAAAATCAAAAGTCAAATAAAAAATATTAGTTTATTATTAGTCATTATGTGAGAAATACATACATACATACTTAATTTCTGTAATATATTTGATGAAGAATTAAAAATTGTTAGCACCATTTCACATCTTTAATTTTTTAAATAATTCAAAAATATTAGATAATGCTCGTCATTTTCTATTATTATTTTGTTAGTGGCAACAATTCTTTTCAATATATTCTTTTAATATATTTTGAGATTTTTATTGACGTTTTCTAAATTTTAAAAAATTCACAATTTCATTTATGTTTTTAAATTATAACTAATGTTATTTAAATAAAATTATAGTCAAAACACAATAATTTAATAATGATTTAAAAATTTATATTATGTATACATATAATGTTATCACATTTTATTAGATTAAATTCTTAAAAAAAGTTGATAGAGCATGCAAAAATAACAAAACTATTATTTTTTGAAATTTTATTTCTTTTATTTTTATATACGTGTTTTTTTATATACTTTAAGAGTATTCCAAAAAAAAAAAAAATGTTCAGAAATGTTAGTAAACGATATATTTTAGCATCCAAGATACAAAATATTTTTAAAATTCAATAAAATTCAACAGGAATATTACGGATAATAACATTATGATCGAATAAAACAAATTGTGATGAAAATCAAAAAATTCATATTACTTAATCGTATATTTGTGTGAATTTAATGTTTATTTTATGAAAATAATTTCAAAAAATACTTATATAATGATTTACAATGCTATACAAAACACATGTATGTATTTCAATAATTTTATAGAACTCCAAAATTAAAAGCAGTTTTAAAATAATTTCTTTGAAAATTAAATGACGAATTTATCGAATATTTATTTAATAGAATTTAATGTTTTATAGCATTTTAATTCATTATAGATATAGAAAGTTTATTACACATTTTTGGTTGTAACCTAATTAAAAAAAAAAACATCAACAATATCGAGATCACAAATTCTATAGACATGAGAAAAAGTTATTGATTTTTTAATAAATTATCAATAGCTTTTAAAATGTTAATATACTTTTTAATTAATGCAAATATAATTTTTTTTAATTATTTTATATTTATTATAATTTAACTCTAAAGAATAGACTCCTCTATCCTAAGATTCATTAGTATCACATTGCTACTTACGAAATATTTTTTAAATAGGTATGTAATTTGAAAGTTTTAATTTTTGGCCAAGTTAATCAATCATCAATTAAATCAGAATCAATTTAATCAATTTAACAATAAATTATTTAATTGAGATTATAATTATAAATTGAATAAACAATATTTAAGAAAAGCCTAAATTTTATATATTTCATTGACGTACATTAATTCTCACTACATATTTTTCTATGTATTAAACACAATTAAATAAACTTTTAAGTAATAATTAACCACAGCGTTATGCTAAATGTTAGCTTTTTGCTAAGCGTTATATTCATGATCCCGACATTGTTAATATTATCAGTATTATTAAAAAAAAATTTTAGATTCAGTAACAGTACCTAGTCTATTCAAAAATAATATTATTAAAATTTTGTGCTTAAAAATATTTATAAAATTTATTAAACTTAAATTAAATTTTTTTCTTTTTAGTTCTTAACATTTCAAGTTTAAATTAATACTAAAAACTACTAATTTGCTTTAAAACTAGCTTTGGATTTTAGACAAAAAATACTCTAACTTAATTTTAGCTTATTTTTTTTTTTAATTTAAAAGCAATATATGTATTTATATATATATGCATACATATATACAAATTTGTTTTTCTTTTTTTTTTTTTATTTAATTTAAAAACAAAAAATGCAATAAAATTAAGTTTAGTTTTGTTTATGTGAATGATGACAATTTTTTAATGTTCTCTGTCACGCTTCTTTAATAATGTTTGACCATTCATAGATGAACCTCCATGTTTTAAAATTTCTCCTATGTGATGAACAATCAAATCAATAGCAACTGAAAGAGTAAGTAACTTGGCATTGTTAACGTTAAAAAAGGAAAATGAACAAAACAAAGATCTAATCATTTGTAAAAAGAAAACCAATATGCTTGTATAGCCTTTGAACGTATCTTAACATAATTTTATTAAAATTAAAAATGAACAGAATTTGCAAGTCAAGGCATTATTTTATGACTATTAAATTTTAAAAACAAGAGAAAACTAACTTTCTATTTATATTTATACTAAGATAAATAAATCATACTACAATTCATTGATTACTATAAATTAGAACTTTTGAAGACGTACTTTTAATTTAAATATATTTGGAAAACTACAAGGTTTCTCGAAAAATAGAGTCACCTACATATATTTTTATGCAGCAATTTTCTGTTCATTAAAGAGGAAAAAATATACTATTCTACATTTTAACAAGCAAATACAAACTAAAAAATAATACATAATTTTAATAGAAACCAAAAAAAGAAAAAATTAATAAAACAATGTAATTTAATTTTTTTCATTATTAGTATCGATGAATAAAATATATAAAATACAACTTACCAGTATTATCTGCACCTCTAGGTATAATAACATCAGCAAATTTTTTTGTCTAAAAATGTTCGAAATATTCATATAGTGGTTATTTAACTTTTAGTAAAATTTTGTACTCACCGGTGAACAAAATTCTTCAAAGGCTGGTTTAACAAAAGTCATATACTGTGTTAATACTTGATCTAAATCTCTGCCCCTTTCATTGATATCTCTAGGAACTGAAATATATCGTTTATAATATCAGTTTCAGAAAACAAGTTAGGTATGTTTTAAAAATTAAAATATAATATTATATACCTCTTCGTGCTAAGCGAGTATCAGAATCAGTATCTACAAAAAGTTTCATATGGAATAAATCACGTATTGGTTGATAATAAAAAGCTAATATTCCTTCAAATAATACAACATCAGCTGGATATATAGTTTGTTTATTTTCATAATCCCTGAAATTCGTATATTTTTCTTTAGTAAATAAAATTTTTATTATTTAAATATTTTATTTAAGATATTTTAGACTCACAAAGAATTGGTTTTATAATCATATCCTGGAATTTCCACTTTCTTTCCATCCAAAATTGTTTGTAAAGTTTCAAACATTAAATTTTCATTAAAAGCATCAGGATGATCAAAATTAAACAAACCTTTGGAAGCTTTTTGTTTTTCAGCTGAAGTTAATTCTCGATAAAAGCTATCTTGACTTATTACTACAACCTAAAATTATATTTGTATTAGAAAATGTAAGTTTAATAAATAGTAAAACAGAATTATGTAGGTAGGTACTTGTCTTTGTGCGTTATCAACATCTGTTTGGCCCAGCTGTTCCATAATTTTTTTACACACTGTAGACTAAAAATAACAAATACAAAAAATTAAATTTTAATAATAAACCATTAAATTCCGACAATAATAATTAATTCCACATTTTTAATAAAAAATGAGGTAGATATGTAGGTCCTACCTCTTGTAAATTAAAAATTGGTTTACATATCTGTTAGATATCAACTATAGTTTCAACCTGAGTACATACTTCTGATTTTTAACTACATGAAAATACGATCTATATACACTTCTACAAATACTTCAACTAAGTACGTACGTATTCAATCCGTTTGAAAATTGAACGACATAAACTGCATTCAAACATAAATCAAAGAAACTTCAAAATAAAAATACGATATAACAAGAGCGTTTGATGATAATCATAATTGTTTGATTGTGACTTATTTAGTACTAAATTCAATCAGTCAGAATTTAAAAATACATAAACGAAGAAGAAAGCCTGTTTTTGTAATTTAGAAGTTTTGTCTAACTTAAATTCAATAATCTGGAATAACGAAAAATTAATAAAATTGCTGTATTGTGACTATGCTGTTAAAAAAGGTTGAAACTAACTCACTATAAAATTTTAAGTTAACTCCTAAAGCGTAATTTAAAGTTAACTCCTAAGAAATAATTGTAAGCGCTTCATATTTTATATTAGGATTTAAAGTTCATTTAATGTACAGGAACTTAAGTACCAAGTTCTATTTCTTGTTTTGTCTTAAGGCATTTAAGACAAAACAAGAAATAGAACTTGTAGAAGGGGATGCTACAAAATTGGATAATGTTAAAAATTTGCTTAATGGTGTTGAAGGAGTGCGTTATTTTAGGAACCCGAAATAATTCGGAGCCAACTACGGAAATGTCAACCGGAACTCAAATTGTTGTTGAGGCAATGAAAACATTAAACCTAAACAAATTTTCAGTAATAATGTCTTCGTTTCTTTTTTGGGAGTACAAAAGGAGTGCTTCAAATTACTAAAAACTCTGGTTTAGACGATCACTTAGTGGCTATATTACCTCCTCATATATCTCATGAATCCTATACAGAAGTTGAAATTACTGAAAACAAATCACCAAAGTATAGTTCCAAAGATCAATCTTGCTAAATTTATAGTGGAAAATTTGGGGTATAGGCAAAACGGCATAATTTTTGTACTTGCTTAAAATATTAAAATAATCAGTTTTGAAAATAAAGTTTTTGATAAATTTTGTGGGTAATATGTTTAATAGAACGACATTAATGGGTCGTTAATTAAAGCAATTTTTGGAATACATACATACATGTTTCTGTTATTTTAATCAAAATCATTTCACATTAGTTACATGTGAAACACATACCTGTATTAATAGTTATACCTTTTCAACTACTTTGTTAACTTCCACGCAAAATTTAATTTTCAGGGCCTAATGAAACAAGTGAATTTTTTAACATAAATGGGATCATAAATGAGTGTTATGTTTATACATACATATGTAAATATGAACACTTTTTATAATAATGGGTAAACTTATTTGAAGTGTTTGTATACTTATAAGTAATCATCGATCTATTATTTTACTATTGAGCTTTGCATATACATATACCACTAGGATTGCATTTAGTAATATTATATGATCTATATATAATATTTTCGTTATCGTAAAAATATATGACAGAGTATGAAAGGAATATTTGATTTTGAGATTTGATAATTTTGTCATTTATGTTTACGTTTGATTTGCGTTTGATAGTAATTGAAAGCGTTTTTTGGTACACCTATTCAAGTATTTGTAGAAGTGTATATAGATCAAATAACATATTCAGTAAGTAAATAGATCTACATACACAAGTATGTGTCAAAATATTAAAAAACATGTGAAGAACCACTATATACAAGAAGTACTTGACAATGTAAAACATTAAACGTAAGAAAAATACTGCATTGTCTAAAAACGAGCCTTTTCTGTGACCAACATATTATACGAGTAATATATTTAAACATCATTAATTCTATTTCCTTTTTTCCCTTCATATAAAGTACATTATGTTCGTATGTATGTACATATTATGTATATAGAAAATTTTGATTCTTTCAAATACTTCAAGGGCTGACATTCAAAATAACCTATCCACACAAATAGAACTGACCTTGATAAATTTAATTATTGCGCGAAACTTTTCTTCAAAGTAATTTATTAACAAAATACAGAGTTAAAGTAAAATAAAATTTTTGTCTACCTTTACACTGCAGAATATATACAAATTTAATGTATAGCAATTCTAATTACCTTTCCTGATGCAGTTCCACCAGAAACTCCGATTAAAAACGGAGTTTTTATTTCAGTAGAAGTATCACCATTCTGCATCTTTTGTGAAGTTGTATCATCCATTTTATTTTCAATTGATTTATATATACTTAGTTAATAAAAACTATCGAAATAAATAAAAATATTTCTTTCAATAAAATATTAAACTGAAATTTTTTCGCTGTAATTTTCACGGTACAAATTTTGACATATACGTCAATCTACATATGTTTATGGATTAAAGCATATGTAGTGTTTTGAGTGAAAATAAATTGGAATACTTTTTTTGAGTTAAAATATATGGGAATAGTTCACTGTTAATACTTTACTACAATTGTATTAAGTTCTACTACATTTTCTTAAATAAAAATTCAGTAAGTACTATTTTTCATTTAGAACATTTTAATTATTTTTACTTCCACTTTTAATTTTATTTCGTTATAAAACTACAAAATAATTACATATATAGATATTATTTCTTGCCTAATCTTTTTCTTAATTTTTTGTGATAGGTTTTTTGTGTAATTTCTTTTCAAATGAAAATAAAGTCATGTAAATAGTATATTTTTTTATCAATTATGGTATCCAGATTTTAAAATGAGGTGTTAACCCTAGAACAGTTTCGAAGAGACAAATGTCAATGACAGCAATGCCAGATTGTAGGTTATACTAGTGTTTTACTTAAATATATACGAGTAGATAAATATATGAAGATTTAAGCGCAGAGCACATTATATTTCTTACATTTTTGTAGCATATTATTTATGTAGTGGTGCAAATGTTATCCGTTATGTTATGGCCTCGCCTTGAAAAGCGTAAATTACTTGATGGTCAATATCACTTATGAGATTAATTCTCGACAATACTCAATACGAAATCTACATATGTACATATGTAAAGATATTTTAGTCTGCTTTCGTCAAATCCAGTGCTTTAGATGTTTTTTGTTTTTTAAACACTGTGGGTCACATCGAATTGATTGCAGACCGAAACTTAAGAGCAATAAATCGCATGTGAAAAAAGCCACCGATGGTTAGTACACATACATATGTATGTATGTATGTTGCATAGTTCCGAAGGTATAAGCACTTATTTATATGCAGAAAAAATCTGGTAGCTCTCTTTCAAACAGGATGTAGCAGGAGAACGAATATATCACTCCTTTCTAATTTTTGGCTGTAACTGATTGGAGAAAGAATCAATTCTGAAACTATTTGCCGCCTTAAGCTAAACACCTGGTATACGAAGATCATATTGGTATGTAAAAATTTAGAAACTTAAATTGTTTGATTCTTTAACAATAAATTACGTGTCGCGAAAAGTATTAATCCGATATGAGGTAATAAAGAGTTTATATAAACGAAAGTTATTAAAATATATATTTAACTATAAAATATAAAATACAAATAAATATAATCATTGTGAATAAAAACTATCAGATACTGATTATTAACGTTGATATTGCTACCAACTTCTTAATAAAAAATACTAAAATATTTGTTTCTTGGAATATTTTGATTTTAAAGAATTATGTCCTAAAGTTAAACAAGCAGGATTTTTTTTCCATGGGCCTGATTCTTCTAATACTGCATGTGGAGAACATCGCCATGGATCATTAGTTTTAATTTGCCAATCCATTAATCGCTTTTCTAAATTTTTTCTAATATCCTTAAATTTAGATTTTCCAGCCAAATTCCATATTTCTTCAGCATCTCGTCTGACATCGTATAATTCCCATTCAGGTCTGTCGTAAAACGACTTCAAATTCTTGAACCAAGGTAAATTTTTCCCAGCCAAAGTAGCATTTAAAATATCTTGAAATGTATCCGATGTATAAAGATCTTGATCAACAGGGAAATAACTTTCATAATTTAAATTGTGAATTAATTTGTATTGTTTAGTACGAATCATTCTCATTGGATAGTTCATGGTAATTTCATGGAAATTTTGACTACCAAAAATTGCTTCATCAGGATCTGGTTTTGGTTCATCTTTGAGTAATGGTAACAACGATTTGCCTGTTAAAGGCACAGCCAAAGACTCGTTATTTTTAAAAACATCTAAAATTGTCGGAAATACATCTAGTAAACTGGACATGGAATAGGTAACTGAATTTCTTCTGGAACCATTTTCTGGTGAATATATAAACATCGGCTCCCTAACACCTGGATCATAAAGATTTGTTCTACCACCTGGAAACGGTGGTCCATTGTCTGAAGTATATATTACTAAAGTTTCATCATCAACTTTTGCTCGTTTTAATTCATTCAGAACTAATCCAACACCTTGATCCAGTCTGGATATTGTCATGTATTGTGCAGATATTTCTTGTTTTACTGCGTCTGTTTGAGGTAAATAATATGGAGCATTTAAATTTCTCCAGTCATAATAAATTGGCTTCCAATCAGGTATAGTACCCATTCCAGTTTCTCCAGAACCCCATCTTTCACAAAATTGGCCATATTGTGGTGTAATATGACCACATCTATGAGGATCATGAAAAGCAACCATTAAAAAAAATGGGTTTGTATTTTGACCATCATTTGTTACATTTTCTAAAAATTCTCTAACAAAAAGTTTTATTTGTGTTATATTACGTCCAACTTGATTAATAGGATGATTCTCCTCAGTTTGTTCATAATCAAAATGAAAATTCTTTTTTGGCCCAACATGTTTCTTACCAACTAAACCAGTTGTAATACCATTTCTTTTAAGAATATTTGGTAATGAATGAATTTTATCAAAAACATTGAAATGATGATATGATTGGTGTAAACCATACATTCCATTTTGATGTGATGGCATTCCGGTCAAAATTTGTGCACGACTCGGAGAACAACTGCTAACAGATGTAAATGCATTATGAAAAATCAACGATTGTTTAGCTAATTTATCTAAATTAGGTGTTTGACAAAATTTGTTTAAATAAGCTCCCATTTCAAATCCTCCATCATCAGCTAAAAAAAAAAAATCATTAATAACATTAATCAAAATCTTTACAGAACATTAAAATTCAATATAGATAACAAAAAATACATTTCATTAACCGGTCTCAATAAATGAAAGTGTTTGTAAAAAATAAAAAGTAAACCGAAAACTTTCTTATTACGAGTACAACTTTCATTTTATGAAATGTTTTGATTAAAAGAGCATAAAACTTAAGTATCTTTTACACAAAATACACAAAATTGAACTTACCCAATAATAATAAAACGTTTTTGATTTTTGAACAGTAACACTGAATTGAAAACAATTCCAAAAATAAAATTATCCATGGTAATATTTTTAAAATCATTTCTAAAATAATTATGCAATTAACAATATAAAATATTTATAAAATTACAATGATCATATAAAATAAAATTAAATGATCAGCTGAGTATCACAACCGAAATAATACTGAAATGAATAACCATCATTACCACGATATTATACAAAAAATTTTCCCGATTTTGAATTTATTTTGTTTTTTTATTTAATCTTCCGATATTGTATAAGGCAAAGTAAGTACTCATTGTATGAGAAAGAGAATTCAATGATAAAAATGTAGATTCGAAGTTATTCATATAAATTCGAACTTATTCAATTACATTACACTATGGTCAAACTACAGCTTGCCATCCGTTATAATACGCCTTCTGGGAAGTTTTAATATATAAAAATTTGTCGACAGAACTACTTGTATGCGATTCTATACTACGTACAATAATATTATGTATATATAGAATATAGATACATTCATGTATGTACATATTTACATGTAGAACGTATTCAATACGTTTTGAAAAATCCGCAAATGAAATCATTTAGGAAACAAGAATAAACCTGGTTTAGGTCTCTTGTATTATTTATCAACATTGTATCCCCTTATTCAATTTATATCAACATTGCATACGACAATAGATACCAAAAAAGATACATTTTTTACTGTTTGTAAATAATATGATCATTATATATTTTATGTTTATTATATTGTTATTATCTATGTGTTCAAAAATCTATGTTTTAAACATCAACAGCATTATACTTTATTCTTTATCCACTCACATAATGTTGCTCTTTTTATACATTGTTATTAACACTTTGTTATCAGAGTATACACAAGGTGTTTGGGAGACACTGACCCTATATCACATTTTACATTTCAGACACACTGACCGAACACCACATTAGTTTGTAAATGCCTACACATATTGCATACAGCTAAGTATTATAACTAATTTCCTATATATATGCAATATTTTATTAATTTGTCAATTTAGAAAATATAACTCATTCATTTGAGAGATTTTTTTCTGCATTTAGTGCGTCTATTAAAAAATAGATGGCTGAGTCAAATATTTTTGCTGAGTTATAATTTTACAAACACCAACCAGATCGTAAATTTTTAAAATAATTTTCGTCAATAATGTAAAAACCTAAAAAACTTTCAAATATTATTCTTTTTACTCTCGTTCAAAATGGTCATAACATGCTACAAACGAAAATAATAAAAAACAGAAACGTATTTTATTTATTAACTTTGTTTCGGTTTCATTTGTTTCAAAATGCTTTCCATTAATTTTTTTGTAATAAATCAAAGAATATGAGAATTTAATCAGAATTTTGTATTAGACAAATGAAAATATAAAATATTTTTTAGTAGAAAATGTTTTCACACTCTTTAAATATTTTATGATGCTTAATTAACCAAGGAGTGCTTCTTAAAATTGCAATACAAATACCATATTTATCACAACTAATCCTACACTAATTTAATATCGTAAATAGAAGTATTTAAAAATTGTACTCTTATTCCGTTCATTCACAATAATTATAAGTTACATTTGCGTAAAGCAACGCAAACCTATAACTGTATTTAAATGTCATTTTACGGTAGAGTTTGTTTCTCTTTCTTTCATTTTGTTACCTGTCTTCAAACGTATTAAAAATTTCTTATTGTTTTTTTTTTTTTACCTGAGCTTTAATTAGTTAAAACTCGATTGTAAACGAAATTAGATGTGAAAAAATTCACTCGTGGGAGTTTTTATATTTATTTAAAAAAAAAAAAATTTTTTTTTTTCGTATACCTTAAACTAGTTTCAAGTTTTTTTTTTGTTTTAATTTTTTTATTTTTCGTATTTTTTCGTTAAGAAATGTATTTTGTATAATTTTTAAAATATATTAAAAACAAAAAATTAAATTAATTAAAATGAAATATTATAAAACAAAATTAAATTTAAACCACAGTGTGCCTATATTTTTAATAAATTTGATATTCGTGATTACAGGTAAAAAAAAAAATGAAAAAAAAAAAAATAATAAAAAAAATAAAAATTTACTTACTACCAGAATGTAAGCTAATTAGGTTTAAAAAAAATATATGTATATACCTACATACATACATATATTATACGTACAACATAAAAAAAATAAAAAAAAAAAATAAATTGTGTTTGCTTTTATAAGTATGTGTATGTGTTGGTTTTTGTTGATTCATCAAAAGAACCTGCTAAAAGGGGAGTAAATAATATACGTATACATACATATGTTTTCCATATATGTATGTACATATATGAATGAATGTATGTATATGGAAATGCATGCGATGTTACCTGTTGAATTCGAATGTTTTTCGGGTCTTTTATTAGAAAACAAAAATTTCTTTTATATTAAAATACAAAAAATAAAATATAAAAATTAATAATCAATATTAAAATTGAATTGAAAAATTTTGAAAAATATTTTATTATTTAAAATATACAAAATTAATTTTCAGAGAAAATTTAAGTGAAATTAATAACAAAACAAAATTAAAATAATGGCGCTATTTTTTATGAAAAAAAAAAAATAAAAATACAAAAAATGAAAAAGTGTTCATCAGCTCTCATTTCTATGTTTAATTTTTTTTTTTCGATATTCTTTTGAAAAGTTGGTTGGAAATTAAATTTTTTACTTTTTTGTTTTTCTGTTATTACTTGAATTATGTTGGCGTACCTTTTGTTATTATTTAGTATTACCATGGTATGGATTTATGATGCGATGGAGGTTTTCACCACAAAAAAGAAAGAACGTATTTACATTCACACATATTTTTTTATATAAAAATATATATATATACACTATATTCGCATACATATATGTATATATAAATGTATATACATATTATATTATATGCCCTTAGAAATTATAGTGTTATACGTTAAAAGAAACTAGAATTTTACGTTAAATTTTATACAATGATGCATCAAAATTTATTTGTTATACATGTTTACATACATACGAGTATGTAAATTAATAGGTAAAAATAAAATATGTATAAAGTATATATATGTAAGTATGTCAAAAATATATATATATATATAATATATCAAATAAAATATATAGGGTATAAATAAATATTAATTAAATGAAGTGTGTATAATAAATAAGCAATAATCGTAATTGTATAAGAATTTCAAATGGACAAAATATATGGAAACAATATAGTAATTACAGCAAATCTAAGAAGTTTATTAAGGGATAATGTTAATTTATAAAAATATGTATGTATTTATATTTTCATACTGATTTGTTATTTCTAATATTGTATTATACATTTGTACTTATATATTTTAAGTGGAACGTAAGATTTATTTTGTCTATGATTTAATTGGCATATGCTTATATGTTTACATATTGCAGTAACATCTTAAAGTTTCATATTGCAGTAATATGATTTTTGTGATGTTAAACTCAATTTAATCACAAAATCGAAATGGAATTTAAATATAATATATTGCTCATTAATATTGCATTAATTATTTTGTTATAATATTTTGGGTCCTATAAGTTCTGAAAATTTACAAAGTGATTTAAGTGGACATACATGCATACATTCATAATCTATATGTATAATTTATGAGTATATGTACATAATAATCATTGTTATACCGTTCTTTATATAAAAGTGCCGGCATAAACAAATTGACGAATTTCAAAATTTGGCGAATTAATAAATTTCAATTTAATTTTTATTTAAATTTTTTGTATTAAATCACTAACCGGTATTGATATTAAATTAAACACATTTATAAATTTATAGTACTTATATACAAGACAATGAGAGTTTTCATTTCTCAGACGTAAATGTAGATATATATATATAATATATGTACGAGTATGCATAAATATATTAAAATTTTGAAATCGAAAAATTTCTCTTTATAAAAATTATGAGAAAATTAATTGGTATTAAATAAACTATGTATATACTCGTATGTGTACATACTTATGTGTATATGAATATAAATTTCAATGAAAATAAATTAAAGGTGCTGTGAAATTTCTAATGTGAAATTTTTAAGAAAGTAATAATATTGCCACCATTCAAAAAACGATCTGAAACCCATACAATTCAAAATTAAATTTTGACAATTTCTTACCTCGTCTTCACAGAAAATGAAACTATAATAGAAACAGGAAATTAAGACAAAATTCTGCAAAAAATTAAGTTTTTTTTTTTTTAAAATTATTTTACAATAAAATTTTTGTAGGTCTGAAACTCCTATGCTGGAAAACTCGTTGTAGGTTTAATGACAAAACGATTTTATAAATAGTAAATGAGAATAACAGTGACGTATAAGAATATTAAATACCACTTTATACGGTCTAAAAAATTATTTTTGATATAACGAAAAAAGTACTATAAGAATATCAAATTCAGATTCACCTGCAACTTCAGATGTTATTTGTATTACAAATATGCACAGGTACATTTACTTTCATTAATGATTTCTATAATATTTTCTTTCATTAGAAGAAACTTGATATTCTTTTCAAAAAAATTTCAGGATCTTTGATTCTTAGAAAAATAATGGAGGCATTAAAAATGTATTTTTTGTTTTGATTAATAGTTTACAATAAAATTATATAGAATTATATCATTTATTTATATAATGTATATGTCACTTTGTGTGTGTATGTCTACACAACAAAATTCATTCTTCTCTTCCTGTATAAGGACAATAGATTTCTTTTGTTTCGATTTGGTATATATTCTGTATATTTATCGGGTTTTTATTTTTTTTTATGTTTAAAAAAGAGATTAAAGTAAATAAATTTATGAAACTGTACATTTTAACAATGACAGTAGTTATGTTATATTTCCTTCATCGTAAATAATTTCTTATATACTTGTGCTTTGATTGCCGAATCCGACAAATAATAGCGATAAATACTTATATGAAATTTGTTTTATATTATAAGAAAACATATTATAAAGTTAGACATTTTATTTCATTACTCAGACCCAAAATAAGTGCGTATTGTCAGAATTTATTTTTAACTTAGTTGATTATTTGATTTTTATATACTTAATGTGGTTCATCAAATTTTATAAAAATTCCAAAAAATTCGATAGAATTCCCGATACAAAATGGTGTTTTTGACTTAGACAAACAAAAATCAATAATGCATTATTTCTTTATGCTGGCTGCTGTTCGATTGACTGGAAGAAGTAATGAAGAAATAATACATAATACATCAAGTCAATAAATATAGCCTTTAAAACCTCAGAATTAGAACATTTTTTAGTATATATAACACGTTCAAAATCACCAGGGAAATGTTAATAATATTAAGCTCGTAAAGGAAATCAACAACCACTTACTTTTATATCTCGTACAGTCGTACCTTGTTACGACCTCAAATTTCTCTACAAGTTTTGATTTTATGAATAAAACCATATACATATTTTATTACTGTTATCTCTCAAAAACACATTATTTATCCAATGAAATTTCAATACCAATACCAAGCTGATTTAACAAAAAAAATTAATAAATTCGAAATTTAAGAATATTATTTCCATAATTTTTTGAAATTCTAATCTTAATATTATACAATGCATTTACAATATGCATAATAATTACATAAATACCAACATATAAATGTTGAAATACATGTGTACATATTAAAATTTGTTGAACTTTTTAAAAGTTTTCATAAAAAAAAATTTCTTTTTAAATAAAACAATATTTTTTTTATAATAGCATTAAAAATGAGTCAGAGAACTTTTTAATCGCTGTTAATAGGTATATAGCTACACAATGTTGCCACGTAAGTTAAAATAAAAAATGCCATAATGAATTCGTATGGTAGAAGCCCGAAATAGTAGTTTTAATGGCTCATTGTGGCTCAAAATTATGTAGTATAGTTATAATGTAAAAAATTTTTTAATCTAAAGAAATTTTTGGTGGAGCACTTATTACAGTTCAAATTTTGACAAGAATCTAACATACAATTTTTGGCAATGACGTTTTTAATTCAAGTCTTTACATTTTCCATGATATAATCTTAATTTTGAAATTTTTTATGAATATTAGTAATTTATGAATGTCAAATTCGGATTTTTTTGCCAGTAGACAATTTGGAAATTACCCCGATCTGTTATATAGAGGCCAATCTGGCAATACTTTGTGTTTACATATTTTTCTTAACATAACGTATTTTATCATTCTTAACGTTATTCTTTTTTGTCAATATTAAAATTATGTATGCATCAAAATACTCGTTTTATGTTTCCAAAATTTGAAACATAATTTTTTTTTTAATTTTTTTGTTATTTTTGGAATTCTTTTAGTGATTTTTAATATTTTCGTTTTATTTCATTTTTTTTTTTATTTTTATTGTTTTATATGATAAACATGGTATATAAAACCTTGGAAACTCTATAATAGAGATGATTGAAATTTTTCATTATTAAAATTTTTGTCTTAAATTTGACTACTTATGATTAATCAAACTGTATACATTGCATATCCAAATGTGCTATTGGTAAATTTGAAATTGTGATAGTGATTTTTGATATTTTTAATATTCTAAACTTAATTTATTCTTTAATAACGATTCTTAATTTACATCATGTATTAAAATTTGAGAGAATATAGAAAAACTCGAGAAGTTCATATGTTGTTTTTTAAATTAATATAATGGATTTGGGTGAAATTTTTTCATTTTATAGAAGAAATGTACCAACTTATAACTTAAATTTAAAATTCAAGATACAACTTAAAATTATGAAAATTATTGGTATTATTTTATCAACTCAACCATATATAGCTTAGTTTATATCATTATATGAGCCGGTATAGGGCTAGATTAAAAAAAGTCCTCGTCGACCTCCCGAAGAACACACTTAGGCCATTTAAGTTCGTTGTTTCATCACCAAATGTTTCGCTTTCCCTTCCGTTAGAACTAATCGAAGTTCTTTAGAAATTAGACGAGGACCGTAGTATTAACATTCGCAACA